CAGTCCTGACAGAGGTTGAAGCTATCTTAAATTCTAGGCCTCTGACCTTCGTGCACAATGAAGTGGATGAACCACAACCCCTGACCCCAGCACACTTCCTGGTGGGTAAAAGACTAACCTATTTGCCTCCAAAGCCATTTCCAGCTGACACTCAGCACCCAATGCTAAACAAGGAGGAAATGACACGCAGATGGAAGTACAGGCAGAGAATTGTGACCAGTTTCTGGAACAGTTGGCGAAGAGACTACTTGCTGGATCTAAAGTCAGCACACGCCGCAGCCAACCCCGCTGAAAGCGGGTGACGTTGTACTCATTGGAGAAGATAACACACCCAGACAAACCTGGAAACTAGGAAAGATTGAGGAACTGTTTCCAGGCCGAGATGGCCTAGTTAGGTCATGTTCCGTTCGTACTGCTTCAGGGACTTTGTTGAGGAGACCTATTCCGTTGATATACTGCCTAGAGATTTAGATGAACACAGTTGTTCATCGGGGGGAGGATGTTGTAACTTTAATGGGTTACAGAGTTAATGTTTAAGTTAATTCATTGAGCTGTATCTAAAAATATTTTCTTTACAGTTATTTACATATGTAATTGTATTAGAATGTGTGTGTTGGAGATTGAGAGAAGTACATACAGTGGGAAAAAAAGGATTTAGTCAGCCACCAATTGTGCAAGTTCTCCCACTTAAAAAGATGAGAGAGGCCTGTAATTTTCATCATAGGTACACGTCAACTTTGACAGACAAAATGAGAAAAAATATTCCAGAAAATCACATTGTAGGATTTTTAATGAATTTATTTGCAAATTATGGTGGAAAATAAGTATTTGGTCAATAACAAAAGTTTCTCAATACTTTGTTATATACCCTTTGTTGGCAATGACACAGGTCAAACGTTTTCTGTAAGTCTTCACAAGGTTTTCATACACTGTTGCTGGTATTTTGGCTCATTCCTCCATGCAGATCTCCTCTAGAGCAGTGATGTTTTGGGGCTGTCGCTGGGCAACACGGACTTTCAACTCCCTCCAAAGATTTTCTATGGGGTTGAGATCTGGAGACTGGCTAGGCCACTCCAGGACCTCGAAATGCTTCTTACGAAGCCACTCCTTCGTTGCCCAGGCGGTGTGTTTGGGATCATTGTCATGCTGAAAGACCCAGTCACGTTTCATCTTCAATGCCCTTGCTGATGGAAGGAGGTTTTCACTCAAAATCTCACAAAACATGGCCCCATTCATTCTTTCCTTTACACGGATCAGTCGTCCTGGTCCCTTTGCAGAAAAACAGCCCCAAAGCATGACGTTTCCACCCCCATGCTTCACAGTAGGTATGGTGTTCTTTGGATGCAACTCAGCATTCTTTGTCCTCCAAACACGACGAGTTGAGTTTTTACCAAAAAGTTCTATTTTGGTTTCATCTGACCATATGACATTCTCCCAATCCTCTTCTGGATCATCCAAATGCACTCTAGCAAACTTCAGACGGGCCTGGACATGTACTGGCTTAAGCAGGGGGACACGTCTGGCACTGCAGGATTTGAGTCCCTGGCGGCGTAGTGTGTTACTGATGGTAGGCTTTGTTACTTTGGTCCCAGCTCTCTGCAGGTCATTCACTAGGTCCCCCCGTGTGGTTCTGGGATTTTTGCTCACCGTTCTTGTGATCATTTTGACCCCACGGGGTGAGATCTTGCGTGGAGCCCCAGATCGAGGGAGATTATCAGTGGTCTTGTATGTCTTCCATTTCCTAATAATTGCTCCCACAGTTGATTTCTTCAAACCAAGCTGCTTACCTATTGCAGATTCAGTCTTCCCAGCCTGGTGCAGGTCTACAATTTTGTTTCTGGTGTCCTTTGACAGCTCTTTGGTCTTGGCCATAGTGGAGTTTGGAGTGTGACTGTTTGAGGTTGTGGACAGGTGTCTTTTATACTGATAACAAGTTCAAACAGGTGCCATTAATACAGGTAACGAGTGGAGGACAGAGGACTCTCTTAAAGAAGAAGTTACAGGTCTGTGAGAGCCAGAAATCTTGCTTGTTTGTAGGTGACCAAATACTTATTTTCCACCATAATTTGCAAATAAATTCATAAAAAATCCTACAATGTGATTTTCTGGATTTCTTTTTCTCAATTTGTCTGTCATAGTTGACGTGTACCTATGATGAAAATTACAGGCCTCTCTCATCTTTTTAAGTGGGAGAACTTGCACAATTGGTGGCTGACTAAATACTTTTTTTCCCCACTGTACATACTTGTATTGGTTAGTATTGAATTACTCTTTTGACTGCAAGTTCCATAATGCCTGGCGACCGGGGGGAGAGAAAAAAAAAGGCTCCAGTTATGTCAAGTGTCAAGTGATTATCCTGACTTTTCGCTAGAAACTTATTTTTATTGTTTTATAGAATCTAAAGTTGTTAAATGTAACGTGAACAAGTAATATTACTAAAATAAGCTTTCATTTCAAACCCGACGTCCCGAGTCATTACTTTGAAGATAGTTATTATATACACAGCATTCTGCAGCGATACGCCATCTCATCTGGTTTGCGCTTAGTGGGACTATCATTTGTTTTTAAACAGGACAATGACCCAACACAACTCCAGGCTGTGTAAGGGCTAATTGACCAAGAAGGAGAGTGATGGAGTGCTGCATCAGATGACCTGGCCTCCACAATCCCCCGACCTCAACCAAATTGAGATGGTTTGGGATGAGTCGGACCACAGAGAGAAGGAAAAGCAGCCAACAAGTGCTCAGCATATGTGGGAACTCCTTCAAGAATGTTGGAAAAGCATTCCAGGTGAAGCTGGTTGAGAGAATGCCAAGAGTGTGCAAAGCTGTCATCAAGGGTAGCTATTTGAATAATCTCAAATATAAAATATATTTTGATTTGTTTAACACATTTTGGTGTTTGGGGATAAGGAAAAGCAGCCAACAAGTGCTAAGCATACAGTTGAAGTCAGAAGTTTACATACACTTAGGTTGGAGTCATTAAAACTTGTTTTTCAACACCTCCACAAATTTCTTGTTAACAAACTATAGTTTTGGCAAGTTGGTTAGGACATCTACTTTGTGCATGACACAAGTAATTTTTCCAACAATTGTTTACAGACAGATTATTTCACTTGTAATTCACTGTATCAAAATTCCAGTGGGTCAGAAGTTTACATACACTAAGTTGACTGTGCCTTTAAACAGCTTGGAAAATTCCAGAAAATGATGTCATGGCTTTAGAAGCTTCTGATAGGCTAATTGACATAATTTGAGTCAATTGGAGGTGTACCTGTGGATGTATTTCAATGCCTACCTTCAAACTCAGTTCCTCTTTGCTTGACATCATGGGAAAATCAAAAGAAATCAGCCAAGACCTCAGAAAAAAAATTGCAGACCTCCACAAGTCTGGTTCATCCTTGGGAGCAATTTCCAAACGCCTGAAGGTACCACGTTCATCTGTACAAACAATAGTACGTAAGTATAAACACCATGGGACCACGCAGCCGTCATACCGCTCAGGAGACGCGTTCTGTCTCCTAGAAATGAATGTATTTTGGTGCGAAAAGTGCAAATCAATCCCAGAACAACAACAAAGGACCTTGTGAAGATGCTGGAGGAAACAGGTACAAAAGTATCTATATCCACAGTAAAACGAGTCTTATATCGACATAACCTGAAAGGCCGCTCAGCAAGGAAGAAGCCACTGCTCCAAAACCGCCATAAAAAATCCAGACTATGGTTTGCAACTGCACATGAGGACAAAGATCATCCTTTTTGGAGAAATGTCCTCTGGTCTAATAGAACTGTTTGGCCATAATGACCATTGTTATGTTTGGAGGAAAAAGGGGGTTGCTTGCAAGCCGAAGAACACCATCCCAACCGTGAAGCACGGGGATGGCAGCATCATGCTGTGGGGGTGCTTTGCTGCAGGAGGGACTGGTGCACTTAACAAAATAGATGGCATCATGAGGAAGGAAAATTATGTGGATATATTGAAGCAACATCTCAAGACATCAGTCAGGAAGTTAAAGCTTGGTCGCAAATGGGTCTTCCAAATGGACAATGACCCCAAGCATATTTCCAAAGTTGTGGCAAAATGGCTTAAGGACAACAAAGTCAAGGTATTGGAGTGGCCATCAAAAAGCCCTGACCTCAATCCTATAGAAAATGTGTGGGCAGAACTGAAAAAGCGTGTGCGAGCAAGGAGGCCTACAAACCTGACTCAGTTACACCAGCTCTGTCAGGAGGAATGGGCCAAAATTCACCCAACTTATTGTGGGAAACTTGTGGAAGGCTACCCGAAACGTTTGACCCAAGTTAAACAATTTAAAGGCAATGTTACCAAATACTAATTGAGTGTATGTAAACTTCTGACCCACTGGGAATGTGATGAAATAAATAAAAGCTGAAATAAATCATTCTCTCTACTATTATTCTGACATTTCACAATCTTAAAATAAAGTTGTGATCCTAACTGACCTAAGACAGGGAATTTGTACTAGGATTAAATGTCAGGAATTGTGAAAAACTGAGTTTAAATGTATTTGGCTTAGGTGTATGTAAACTTCCGACTTCAACTGTATGTGCGAACTCCTTCAAGACTGTTGGAAAAGCATTCCAGGTGAAGCTGGTTGAGAGAATGCGAAGAGTGTGCAAAGCTGTCATGAAGGCAAAGGGTGGCTACTTTGAAGAATCTCAAATATAAAATATTTTTGATTTGTTTAACACTTTTTTGGTTACTACATGATTCCATATGTGTTATTTCATAGTTTTGATGTCTTCACTATTATTCTACAATATAGAAAATAGTAAAAATAAAGAAAAACCCTTGAATGAGTAGGTGTGTCCAAATGTTTGACTGGTACTGTAATTCTGAAGTACATAACTGGTAATAGTATTGGTCCTGTAATAGCTCTGTAATAATAAAGTGCTACAGTACCACAAGACAAACCAAGCCCTTATCCCAGGCAGCAGGTCTCTGAACTAGATGAGAGGGGCTATCCAGGTGGAGGATCCTCACTGAGGACTGTGCTCGTAGGAGCCGGGGAACATAGACTTCCTGGTCTTAGGAGGAGGTGGAGGGGGCTTGCTGTCAATTTTCTGAGGCAGAGGAGGAAGGAACTATGGAGAGACAGGGGAAAAAAATATCCTGTTAAAATATTTTGTTTCACAATGTGCATTTTACAAAAACTATTGATGTTTTCAGTCTAGCGGTACCTCAGAGGAGTTTTGGGAGAGGTCAAACATCTCGTGGGGATGTTTCTTTGGTGGCATAGGTGGGGGTGTCCCAGGAGTGTCAGTGGTGGCATCATTATCCCCAAGGAGAGATGAATAACCTGCAGAGAGAGAGAGTGACAAAACACACATATTTTAGGCTCCATGACAGGTAAAACTGTGTGTGGACGAGGCATGGATCCTATACAGGGTTTATCTCTATGCCTGTGCAGGTGACTGTTTCTGTGTGCAGGTTGAACCGGTATCTCTAAAAGGTTGTTTGGGATAGGCTGCTTTGTATGTATCCTTTGTGTGTAGTTAAGCTACGTACTGGAGCTGCGAGGAGTGTAAGGAGAGGCTGGCAGGGGGCTGAGAGGGTTGCCAAGGCTGAGCTGAGAAGAGACGCCCTGGAACAGAGACAGGGTCAGGCGACGGTCCCCAAACTGTAGGCTTTTGGGTCTCTGCTGCTTCTCTGGAGGGGTCTGCAAAGGAGTAGAGTACAAAGATACAGCCCTCCTTGAAATCACAGTCAAGTATATGGGTAATTACTTGCATTCTCAAATTACATTTGTGCCATAGTTTATGAGCCCAAAACCGTTTTAGTTACCTCATCTATGTCTGGCTGTCTCTCCACCAAAACCTGTGACTTGCTCACACTCCATTCTTTTCTGTTCTTTCGACCGATCCGGTTGTCATCCTCAGAGCGGGACAACATCGAGGCCCGGCGATCATTGGCAGTGGCACGGGACAACAGTGAACTGATGATGGATATCAGGTCAACAGGACAGATAGAGAAATAGAGAGAGAGACATGGGGGCGGGGGGTGTACAGTTAGAGGGATACACTGGCATGTGCAAGACTTCAGACAATGTCACACTGTGAGATGTGGAAAAGCACAGACAAATATTCCTTACTAACATAGCAACACAAATTGACCACCAGAGCAGCACAAAGAGAGTAACACAGGGAGGGAGGAGGGAGAAGGGAGGAGGATGGAGGGAGGAGGGGGACTGTCTCCTGGGAGGAGGAGGGAGAAGGAAGGAGGAAAGAGGAGGAGGTGAGGGACTGACTCCTGGGAGGAGGAGCGCCGGGAGGGTCCATCAGAGGAGGCGGAGCTGCTGGAGAGGCCTGATGAGGTGGTGGAGAGGATGGAGACGGTGGACATGCGGCGCAGGGTAGAGGAAAGGATGTAGGGCATCACTACGGAGCCCACGCGACTCTTCTTCCTCTCAGTCAGAGAGCAGGGCTGGGACACGCAAATGGGATGAAACATCATCAGGAAACTTGGCAGGGGATGAGTGGATTGACAGGCAAAACACTAGCAGCAATGGAGTGCCTAAAGCAAGATGTATGGTCCTGCAGCAATATAATGTACACTCTGCTTTGAATGAGGGGAATTTAATAGGGAGGCAGTCAGAGGAGCCAATAGCTAAAGTTGCCACCCTCTAACATTAAATTGAGTTTGCTGCTGGCAACTGACCAGGGTTATGACGCCGTAATGCTTCTCCACTCTCTCCCGCAGGTCAGAGAAACAGGTGAGCAGGCGGTTGTGTAAGGGCTTCAGCTGCTCCGTGGATTTCTCCCCGTGGATCCGGATCCCATCAGCCAGGAGAGGGATCTGAGGGGAGAGGAGGAGGGAGGAGCCTCTGTTCTTACAGCATGTACTGCATGTCTAAGGACAGGTTCAATAACAAGGAGATAATGAGAATATACTGTACCTGGAGGGCAATAAGATGTTTGAGGACCTCAATGCTCTGAAGGTCCTCTGGGTGTTCGTGTATGTAGGTGTCAGTGAAGAACGCCTACAGAGAAAGAAAGGGGGTGAAATTATTTTATTTTTTACTAGGAGATATGGTCATATGGTCATATGGTCATAATAAATACTAGCTAACATAACAGAGTGACTTGGAAAATAAGAACATCAGGTGACAAATCTTCACTGAAATGTGAGATGAAATTGACAGTAATAGTGGAAGTCAAACCTTCTCGTAGTTGGTGTAGCCACCCATTACGGCAGGGTCAACAATACCATTGAGCATCATGGAGAGTGGGTGGACTGACGTGGAGCTGTCACAGGCCTGCTGCTGCACCAGGTTACTGAGCTTCTCATTGGCCATCTCCATGGTTTCCACAGCATTCTGCAGGGGGCTGATCTCCTCCTGACCAATAGAAAAGCAAGGAGAGGTGAGGAGACATTAAAGTGTAGAAGACCAAATTGGTTGCGTAGGAACTATTTGCTATGGGTGGTATCAGAGTACTCAAAATAGATTCAACATACAGCACATTAACACCAGTACGTTTGTCTTACTGTGATTGTCATCATCATTAGTGAGAGAACTTACAACAGAGATGGACTTCACTTCAAACCATTTGAGAATCCCTGGGAAGTAATAGGACGTGATGTAAGTTGTCCTCTCGATCCACATGGTCTGTAACATGAGGCAGAAAATATGCAGGAATGGTCAACAAGGATATTTTGAGCAACTGCTAAGTAAAAGGGCTAAATTCCTGAGTTCCTTAGCGATGTTCAAAGACAAGAGTGTTAGTATAAATGGAGGGATCTGGCTTTGTTGGGGCTTTACAGCATGGTGTGTCTGTCAGAGCTGTGTGAAAGGTACTCACAGCAAATTCATTGTCTGGGTTCTTTGCACATTTCCTGAAGGGTCTGGAATACTGGAACTGGTCCACTTCATTGGTTCTGTAGTAGCTAGGAGAGGAAGAGGGACCAACAATGTAATGCATATGTAAGATAAATTAATCATACCACAAACTGTTGTGTTCCTTACTTTAGGATCTGCTCAGGAACCCCCTTGTCTTTGAACTGGGTGGGCACAGTAAGGACTGGCTTGACTGTAAAACACTGGATGTCTGTGAAGAGCAGGTAAGGATAGGACTGTGTATTATTCAAAAACAAAAACGAATCCCTAGTGCTATAGGGAAACAGAGACTGGGGCACCAGTGGATTACTGGTTCAAAACTGTGTCCTTGAGAAAGGTATAATAAGACTTGCCAATAAATGGAAAATACATCAAATTAACAATGTCGTGACTAGAAGCATTAACACCAATAATTTACATTTAAATAGCATTAAATAGCTGGGAAAATAAGGGCATGCTGCAAGAGGGCTGAAGGATACGCTGTCCTTGGGAGTTACAGATGTTGTCCCCAGGGGGCGCTGTGCTGGTTATCCTGGCGGCATTGGGGAACTGAGACAGCAGCTTCAGACTGAAGTCCTCCAGCCACTCGTACTCCTTACCACGGTAGATGAACACTTTGTTCTGTAAGAGCAAATCCATTAAAAGATAAGTATTCATTACCCCTTGACTTATTCCACATTTTGTTGTGTTACAGCCTGAATTCAAAATGGATTCCATTTATTTTTTACACAAAATATCCCATAATGACAGAGTGAAAACATGTTTTTAGGAATTTTAGCAAATTTATTGAAAACGAAATACAGAAAAAACTAATTTACATAAGTATTCACACCCCTGAGTCAATACTTTGTAGAAGCACCTTTGGCGGCGATTACAGCTGTGAGTCTTTTTGGGAAAGTCGCTAAGAGCTTTGCACACCTAGACTGTACAATATTTTCCCATTCTTATAAAGAAAATTCATCAAGCTCTGTCAAGTTGATTGTTGATCATTGCTAGACAGCCATTTTCAAGTCTTGCCATAGATTTTCAATCCAAAACTGTAACTAGGCCACACAGGAACATTTAATGTCATCTTGGTAAGCAACTCCAGTGTTTTAGGTAATTGTCCTGCTGAAAGGTGAATTAATCTCCCAGTGTCTGTTGGAAAGCAGACTGAACCAGGTTTTCCTCTAGGATTTTGCCTGTGCTTAGCTCTATTCCATTTCTTTTTATCCTAAAAAACTCCCAAGTCCTTGCCAATGACAAGCATCCCCATAACATGATGCAGCCACCACCATGCTTGAAAATATGAACAGTGTTACTCAGTGATGTGGATTTGCCCCAAACATAACACTTTGTATTCAGGACATAAAGTTAATTTCTTTGCCCAATTTTCAGCAGTTTTATTTTAGTGCCTTATTGCAAACAGTATGCATGTTTTGGAATATTTGTATTCTGTACAGGCTTCCTTTTTTTCGCTCTGTCATTTAAGTTAGTATTGTAGAGTAGCTACAATGTTGTTGATCCATCCTCAGTTTTCTCATATCACAACCATTAAACTCTGTAACTGTTTTAAAATCACCATTGGCTTCATGGTGAAATCCCTGAGCAGTTTCCTTGTTCTTCGGCAATTGAGTTAGGAAGAACGCCTGTATCTTTGTAGTGACTGGGTGTATTGAAACACCATCCAAACCTAATTATTCACTTAATTATGCTCAAAGGGATATTCAGTGTCTGTTTTTCTGTTTTTCTTTTTTGTTTACACACCTACTAAACAATGCCCTTTGCGAGGCATTGAAAAACCTCTCTGGTTTTTATGCTTGAATCTGTGCTGGAAATTCACTACTCGACTGATGGACCTTACATATAATTGTATGTGTGTGGTACAGCGATGGGGTAGTCATTTTAAAAAATCGAATTAACCACTATTATTGAACACGGAATGAGTCCATGTAACTTCTTATGTGATTTTGTAAGCACATTTTTACTCCTGAACTTATTTAGGCCTGCCATAACAAAGGGGTTGAATACTTATTGACTCAAGACATTTCAAGTTTAAATTTTTTTATAATTTAAAAAAATTTCTACAAACAAAATTCCACTTTGACATGATGGGGTATTATTGTGTGTAGATCAGTGACACAAAATCTCACTTTAATAAATTTTCAATTCAGGCTGTAACAACAAAATGCGGAAAGAGTTTAGGGATGTCAATACTTTCTGAAGGCACTGTATATGGTAGCAAATCAAATATGAATTATATTATTTAATTATAATGTTGTTATTGAACTATATGCTACAGAAGATGTCAAAGCTTAAATTAAAGATTAACTGTGGTAGACAGGAATGTGCCACTGCAGTGTAGAAATATTGATGTTATGCCAAATCAAGGCTATTCTGACCTGAACCTGACAAGATTATGGAAGGTATTCAATCCATAGAATCCCCTACTGCTTTATGGAACTGATAACTAGTATAGCCTAAATTATACATTGTGAAACATATTCAACAAAAATTGACTATAATTTAATTTGATAGAGCATGCCATAAGAAAAATTAATAAAAGGCACATTAACACATCATCTCAGGTGAATGAGACAGACCTTGAAATGTGCTATATAGTTATGAAAAGAGGTAATAATCTTACTCTGAGGAAAGTGGGGAATCCAAGGCCATAGTATCCCACAGCAAAGTATTCTGGCTGAGGCCGCATGGCATGCATTATATTCTCATAGAACTGGGCTTGCTGTTTCTGTGGACGACAGCAGGGAGAGTAACAAAGCCACAATCAGGAACACAGACAACATACAACAGGAAATACCTAACATACTGTAGTATCTAATTACAACTGTAGAAAAAAACTAACACAAACATGGTTCAGTGTGAAATTTAAGGATCCATAATGAACATAGACTGTCTGGCACAGTGTGACAGAACACAGTTTTGTATCACTCCACTGCAGCTAAGAACTGTATGTCAACCAGCAGTGCATGGGTGGGACTGCTGGTTAAAAGGTTTGACACAAGTGTGGCAGCAACTCTTCTCTCTTCCCCATTTCCTCAATCATGTTAAATACTATTATTGTACACAGAGTGAGTCCATGAAACGTATTATGTAACTTGTTAAGCACATTTTTACTCCTGAACTTATTTAGGCTTGCCAAAACAATAGGGTTGAATACTTATTGTCTCAAGAAATTTCCACTTTTCATTTTTAATTTTAAAATAATAATAATCTAAAAACATAATTCCACTTTGACATTATGGGGTATTGTGTGTAGGCCAGTGACACAACATTTTTAATTCAGACTGTAACACAACAACATTTGGAAAGATTCATGGCTGTGAATACTTTCTGAAGGCACTGTATCTAATTAACTCCTAGCCTTTGTGAACACTGAAAAGCATGTCAGTATAGCAGTGGACCTGGTCCTATTGAAAAGGCCTCACACTAAATTGGCAGTGGGCTATTGACAATCCCTCTCTGGCGTTGTTGGTGAAGCCTTTTTTACCATGAAGAAACTAAGAGGATAATACTTTTTGGTTTTACTTTACATGTTTTAAAGAAACATCTATAATCAGTAGTGACAATATTTTGAATAAATCTCAGACTAAAACGCGATAGCAGAAGATAAATCGTCTTACCAGCAGCTGGCTAATCTCCATGAAGTCAAACATCTGGTTCTCGTGCATCTTTGCCAGCTGTTTGCCCATCTCAATGGCTTTCTCCCACATCTGAACAGACACATGCAGCAGTTGGTAAAAAGATACATTAAATATGAACATGAGATGTGAACATGGTCTAGACATCACCATCTGTCCTTCACTAACACCTCTATTCAATAAAACCCAGACAGCAGGTTTCAGGGGTGATGTACTGTGGCAGGCATGTGCACCGATAGGCCTTTACCTGTGCAGAGCACATGCCCCTTTGCCCTTCCAGTGTCCAAAGTGCCTTTTTCGGTGGTTGTATAATTTCCCCAAAATTTTTTGTTGTTGTTGTTCTGAACCCACTGCCCGCAAGTCATATGTGTGTGTGTGTGTGTGTGTGTGTGTGTATATGTGTGTTGGAGTGACAGTGTAGTATGTGTGAGTGTGTGGGTAGAGTCCAGTGAGCAGTGCAAGAATGTCAGCGCAAAAAAAAAGGGGGTCAATGCAAATAGTCCAGGTAGCTGGTTGATTAGCTGTTCAGCAGTCTTATGGCTTGGGGGTAGAAGCTGTTCAGGAGCCTTTAGGTCCCAGACTTGGCGCGTCGGTACCTCTTTCAGTGTTTTAGCAGAGAGAACAGTCTATGACTTGGGTGGCTGTAGTCTTTGACCATTTTTAGGGCCATCCTCTGACACTGCCTGGTATAGAGGTCCATGATGGCAGAGAGCTCGGCCCCAGTGATGTACTGGGGCGTACGCACTACCCTCTGTAAAGCCTTGCAGTCGGATGCCAAGCAGTTGCCATACCAAGCAGTGATGCAGCCAGTCAGGATGCTCTCAATGGTGCAGCTGTATAACTTTTTGAGGATCTGAGGGCCCATGCCAAATCTTTTCAGCCTCCTGAGGGGCCAGGTCTCTGGACTCCTCCCTGTAGGCTGTCTCATCATCGTCGGTGATCAGGCCTACCACCGTCATGTCGTCTGCAAACTTAATGATGGTGTTGGAGTCGTGCGTGCGGCCACGCAGTCGTGGGTGAACAGGGAGAACAGGAGGGGACTAAGCACGCACCCCTGAGGGGCCCCCATTGCAGATGTGTTGCTGCCTACCCTCACCACCTGTGGGCGACCCATCAGGATGTCCAGGATCCAGTTGCAGAGGGAGGTGTTTATCCCAGGGTCCTTAGCTTAGTGATGATCTTTGAGGGCACAATGGTGTTGAACGCTGAGATGTACTCAATGAACAGCATTCTCATGTAGGTGTTCCTTTTGTCCAGGTGACTATTGAAAAAACTGCTGGGGTTCACACGTGTATTTGTTTGATTTACAACTAAAAAAATAATAATTCTAAACTGAAATTGAGATTTTTCCATTAAAAGTAAAATAAATGGCCTGGATAATTCTCGGCAAGTGTTATTTATCCTACTTGTGGTAAGTTGCAGGTGCCTACAGGGTAAAAATAGCCATTCAACCAGTTTTGAAAAGAGAAAAAAGAACATTCTGCTCCACTGCACTCCATTGCAAAGTGCAAACTTCCATCTGTAGATCAGGGTTCCTAATAGGGTCACTGTAGTGAGGATGAGGGTGGGAACTCACTTTGCCCTTGTCCAGGTAACAGATTATCTCCTGGAAGAGCCTCTCTTTGAGCTCCTGCTGGGTCCAGACATGTTGGCTGTCACCGGGGATCAGATGAGGGGCACAGGGCTTGTCAGACCACTGAGGTGGACACAATACACAAACTGCATTTAGTTTTCTAGTAATGTATGTTAACTGTAATTTTAGGGAAATATTCCAAACACTACTGTTTTAATTGAAAGTCGACTTGAATGTTGAGTGAGACCTCAAGGAGTTCGGCATGAAGTAACAGGGTGTAGGCTGCCTCTGTGTAGTTCTCACAGACAAGGTGTAAATCCCTCAGCTTGTACAGATACCTGAGGACGAAGTCAGTATTTTAGAGTGATATCTAACAAAATGGAATGCAAAGAAGACTATTCAATTAATGAACTGTCTCACCGAATGTAAATGTCTTCCCGTTTCTTCTCTTTGTAGAAGTTCTGTCACAACCAAAATAAAAACAGTGGAAAAACTCAGCTTTGGTTCAAATGTTTGATGATAACATTTTGTAAAAAATGAATTGGTTCAATGTAGAAACATAGCATCTTCATATACTACTCCTCTGAGGTGATGAATGTGGCTCAATATTTCAGACTATATTGTGAGTTCCACATAAACTAGTCCAAGGGGTTAGTTAGTCCCTGGTGAGCTCCCCTCTGCCTCTTAGTTGGGTACTGTAAGGGCGTACCAGGACGTTGACGGTGCAGCTCATGCGGAGCTCAGGGCTCTCGTCATGTGTGATGGTGCGGTAGGCCAGCAGCTTCTCCAGCAGACTGCTGAGCAGCAGAGCCAGCTCCTCCCCTGACTGAGAAAGGTATCTGTGCCTCCGGCAGTGCTCAAGTAGCCTACACAATATCAACAACGCAACATGTCAATGAATGAGGGAGTTAAATAGTCCTTATTTAGGTATTGACCATGAAACCATGAGGTAAAAGGAATAAGAAAAAGGCATCAGCCTCTGATTGGTGCTTACGTTTTCTCCAGCATGATTTTGTACTGTTCATCCCCACGGCCTCCCTCTACCTCCTGATCCAACTTGGTGATCAGTTCATTCTCAAACTGCATGTACAGGCAGACATATTAAAAACACATCACACATGCCCATGCAAGGATCAGCTCAGCAAAATAAAGCTGGGAAACTCTGTTTGTACAGTTATACTGTAAAGCCAGACAGGCAACACTACTGTGGGCAGCTATCTCACCATGTCAAAGGTGCGGCCGGTAGTGAAGTTGTGCTCACACTGCATCATGTCAAAGAAGATGGGGAGGGTGGCTTTCCTCAGCTCTGGCTCAGGCACCAGGGTAGCCTTCAGGATGGGCCCCACCATGGCAGGGATGAACTTCATCTTGTGGGGGCCTGAGGGATGCACACATGATACAGTTAGAAACAAACATTACACAGGGTTCATTTGAAAGGGCAATAAGCCACACTCCTTTTTCATGCAAACAAAAAGACAGTAAAAGCGGTAAACAAAAAGCGGGCCACCATGAAACTAGGCAATAAAACAACAATGTCTAGTTTCTCTCCTATCAGAGCCTGTTTCCACTGAACAGGCCATTCTGTAGACGTCTCTATTTGAGGAGTTCCTGTCTCACAGAGATAACAACTACCGGACGGTACTTACCAAGATTATACCACATGTCTCTGATCTTAAAGCCAATGCTCTTCCTCATGTCTCCATACCTGTAACCACATCATAGAATTACACTACATACCGTAGAGCATGAATACATATTTACTAATTGGAGCATTTACACCCCTTTACTTTTTCCAAAATGTTATTTTTTTTTTTTTATCGATTGAATTGAGATTTTTGTCACTGATCTACACATAATTCCCCATAATGTCAAAGTGTAATTTTGTTTTTCTAAATTTGTACAAATTAATTAAAAATTAAAAGCTGAAATTGTCTTCAGTCAAAAGTATTCAACCCCTTTGCTATGGCAAGCCCAAATAAGTTCAGGAGAAAAATGTGCTTAGCAAATCCCATAATAAGTTGCATGGACTCATTCTGTGTTCAATAATAGTGTTTACATTATTGTTTTATGACTACCCCATCTCTGTACCCCACACATACAATTATCTTCCGCCCTGTGCAACTGGGTCCTGGACTTCCTGACGGGCCGCCCCCAGGTGGTGAAGGTAGGAAACAACATCTCCACTTCGCTGATCCTCAACACTGGGGCCCCACAAGGGTGCGTGCTCAGCCCCCTCCTGTACTCCCAGTTCACCCATGACTGCGTGGCCAAGCACGCCTCCAACTCAATCATCAAGTTTGCAGACGACACAACAGTAGTAGGCTTGATTACCAACAATGACGAGACCGCCTACAGGGAGGGGGTGAGGGCTCTGGGAGTGTGGTGCCATGAAAATAACCTCTCAATCAACGTCAACAAAACAAAGGAGATGATCGTGGACTTCAGGAAACAGCAGAGGGTGTACCCCCCTATCCACATCGACGGGAACGCAGTGGAGAAGGTGGAAAGCTTAAGACCCTCATAAACTTTTACAGATGCACAATTGAGAGCATCCTGTCGGGCTGTATCACTGCCTGGTACGGCAACTACACCGCCCGCAACCGCAGGGCTCTCCAGAGGGTGGTGCGGTCTGCCGAACGCATTACCGGGGGCAAACTACCCGCCCTCCAAGACACCTACAGCACCCGATGTCACAGGAAGGCGAAAAAGATCATCAAGGACATCAACCACCCAAGCCACTGCCTGTTCACCCCGCTATCATCCAGAAGGCGAGGTCAGTACAGGTGCATCAAAGCTGGGACCGAGAGAATGAAAAACAGCTTCTATCTCAAGGCCATCAGACTGTTAAATAGCCATCACTAGCACATTAGAGGCTGCTGCTGCCTATTGAAATCACTGGCCACTTTAAGAAATGGAACACTAGTCACTTTAATAATGTTTACATATCTTGCACTACTCATCTCATATGTATATACTGTATTCTATTCTATAATATTCTACTGCATCTTAGTCCATGCCGCTCTGTCATTGCTTGTCCATATATGTATCTATTCTTAAATTCCATTCCTTACTAGATTTGTGTGTACAGTGGGGAGAACAAGTATTTGATACACTGCCAATTTTGCAGGTTTTCCTACTTACAAAGCATGTAGAGGTCTGTAATTTTTATCATAGGTACACTTCAACTGTGAGAGACTGAATCTAAAACAAAAATCCAGAAAATCACATTGTATGATTTTTAAGTAATTAATTTGCATTTTATTGCATGACATAAGTATTTGATCACCTACCAACCAGTAAGAATTCCGGCTCTCACAGACCTGTTAGTTTTTCTTTAAGAAGCCCTCCTGTTCTCCACTCATTACCTGTATTAACTGCACCTGTTTGAACTCGTTACCTGTATAAAAGACACCTGTCCACACACTCAATCAAACAGACTCCAACCTCTCCACAATGGCCAAGACCAGAGAGCTGTGTAAGGACATCAGGGATAAAATTGTAGACCTGCACAAGGCTGGGATGGGCTACAGGACAATAGGCAAGCAGCTTGGTGAGAAGGCAACAACTGTTGGCGCAATTATTAGAAAATGGAAGAAGTTCAAGATGACGGTCAATCACCCTCGGTCTGGGGCTCCATGCAAGATCTCACCTCGTGGGGCATCAATGATCATGAGGAAGGTGAGGGATCAGCCCAGAACTACACGGCAGGACCTGGTCAATGACCTGAAGAGAGCTGGGACCACAGTCTCAAAGAAAACCATTAGTAACACACTACGCCGTCATGGATTAAAATCCTGCAGCGCACGCAAGGTCCCCCTGCTCAAGCCAGCGCATGTCCAGGCCCGTCTGAAGTTTGCCAATGACCATCTGGATGATCCAGAGGAGGAATGGGAGAAGGTCATGTGGTCTCATGAGACAAAAATATAGCTTTTTGGTCTAAACTCCACTCGCCATGTTTGGGGGAAGAAGAAGGATGAGTACAACCCCAAGAACACCATCCCAACCGTGAAGCATGGAGGTGGAAACATCATTCTTTGGGGATGCTTTTCTGCAAAGGGGACAGGACAACTGCACCGTATTGAGGGGTGGATGGATGGGGCCATGTATCGCGAGATCTTGGCCAACAACCTCCTTCCCTTAGTAAGAGCATTGAAGATGGGTCGTGGCTGGGTCTTCCAGCATGACAACAACCCGAAACACACAGCCAGGGCAACTAAGGAGTGGCTCCGTAAGAAGCATCTCAAGGTCCTGGAGTGGCCTAGCCAGTCTCCAGACCTGAACCCAATAGAAAATCTTTGGAGGGAGCTGAAAGTCCGTATTGCCCAGCGACAGCCCCGAAACCTGAAGGATCTGGAGAATGTCTGTATGGAGGAGTGGGCCAAAATCCCTGCTGCAGTCTGTGCAAACCTGGTCAAGACCTACAGGAAACATATGTTCTCTGTAATTGCAAACACAGGTTTCTGTACCAAATATTAAGTTCTGCTTTTCTGATGTATCAAATACTTATGTCATGCAATAAAATGCAAATTAATTACTTAAAAATCATACAATGTGATTTTCTGGATTTTTGTTTTAGATTCCGTCTCTCACAGTTGAAGTGTACCTATGATAAAAATTACAGACCTCTACATGCTTTGTAAGTAGGAAAACCTGCAAAATCGGCAGTGTATCAAATACTTGTTCTCCCCACTGTATAGGGTATATGTTGTGAAATTGTTAGATATTACTTGTTAGATATTACTGCACTGTCGGAGATAGAAGCACAAGCATTTCACTACACCCGCAATAACATCTGCTAAACACGTGTATGTGACAAATAAAATGTGATTTTATTTTATTTGATCTGTATGGTCCCTCAATCGAGTAGTGATTTTCAAGCACTGATTCAACCCCACCAGGGAGGTTTTCCAATGCCTCGCAAAGGGCACTGATCGGTAGATGTGTAAAAAATAAAAAAATAATAATAATAATAAAGCTGACATTGAATATCCCTTTGAGCATGGTGAAGTTATTAAATACACTTTGGATGGTGTATAAATACACCCAGTCACTACAAATATACAGGCGTCCTTCCTATCTCAGTTGTCGTAGAGGAAGGAAACTGCTCAGGGATTTCACCATGAGGCCGATGGTGACAGAGCTTGAAGATTTCTTTAAAGAATATTGGGCAAATATTATACAATTCTGGTGTGCAAAGCTCTTAGAGACTTACCCAAAAAGAATTACAGCTGTAATCGCTGCCAAATGTGTTTCTAACATATCTAATCATAATTCATTAATTTGTAACAAATGTTGGAATTTTTCTACTACTTTGACATTACAGAGTACTTTGTGTAGATCGTTGAACAAATTTTTTAATTAAATCAATTTTTATCCCACTTTGTAGCACAACAACATGATAGAAGACAGGCGCAGGAACACGTAATAGGATTTTTTATTTCTCTACCCAACATAAGGTACGTCATAAAAAACGACAGGGACGAAGCCCAAAACAAACACGTATATATATATATATAACACAGGGATGTAACCCAAACAAAAGAGCGAGGTGTAAACCTCTAAATAATACACGGGACGAGACCCGTAATAACAAGTGCACAATTACACGGTATTTAAACCGTAATACAATGTACAGTAACGCGTAGCACGAAAGCCGATACAACAGAGCTCTGGTACTCACGAGACCAACGGACATGGGACAGAATAATCGACCTCCCTAAATGGAGACAGCGGGAAAGGCCGTGCTGGCGACCATCGTAGAGACAGTCCAGCATCACGAGGACTTTCTCTCCAGACTCGGCAGTGCCATGGACAGCGTGCTGGCAACCATCCTGCGTTTGGAGGGGAATGTGCAGTCCCCCCAGTCTCCAGCACCGGTTCCGGCACCAGCCCCCACACCACCACTACCTGCCTCCATCCCATCTGAGACGGTCCGCGGAATACCCCTGTCCCTCCCGGAGCGCTTTGACGGCGTGCCAGCGAAGTGCAAGGGATTCCTTCTGCAATGCGACCTGTACCTCGCTCGCTACGCAGAGGCTGTCTCTGGGAGAGACAGGGTTGCCACAGTCATCTCAGCACTGACCGGACGGGCCCTGGACTGGGATGCCGCGGTCTGGGAAACGGCTGGACCCGAGGTCGAGTCCTACGAGTGCTTCACCCTCCTCTTCCGCTCTGTGTTTGATCATCCTGTGGAGGGCCGAGAGGGGGGTGAGCGTCTACTCCGACTACACCAGGGATCTAGGACCACCTCGGAGTTCGCCCTGGAGTTCCGGACCATCGCGGCCTCCACCGGATATGCAGAGCCGATGGAGGTGGGCTCTGCACGTTTGCCCGAGGCAGAGCGCAGGAGAAGGAGGGATCTGGGCCTCTGCTCCTATTGTGGAGAAAGGGGTCATTTCTCCCCGACCTGCCCTCAATCCACTAATAGGCGAGGAGGTGACAAGCCAGGGAATTCCCCTGCTCCAACCCAGGTAGAATGCAAGAGCTCCTCTCCTTTTCTGTCAACTCAACCAGTGTGCTTTTCCATTAAATTCCCAGAATACCCTAGCCCCTCACTCCTGTTAGCTCTGATTGATTCCGGAGCTGCCGGGAATCTTTTAGATAGCGCACTGGCCACTGCATTATGCATTCCTGCGCCTGTCTTCTATCAGTTTACAACGTGACATGTGTGAATACTGTAAGTTTACTGTGCAATTTGGATTTTTCATGTGTAATTATTTATTTTGGGGAATTCAAATATTGCACTCATACACAAAATAAAGAAGAAAAGGACATACTTGTTGAGTATTTTGTTCCGTTTCTCTTGAGAGAAGGATTCCAGCTGCAATGACTTGTGGGTCAGGAATGCCACAGTCAGGTGGAAGTAGTTGTTCCAGAGCTAAAGAGAGGAGAATATGATAAACATTTTCACATGGACATTGAGACAATGATTGAGTTAAGATTACATTAGGAGAGAGTCACAGATGTTTTTTGTCCACCCCATCAAGAGGTGGAGACTGGAGACCCACCTGAAGCTCAAAGTGGGTCTGGTCCAGGAAGTACATGTTGAGGACCTCAGAGTACTGGTTGATGGCCCGCAGAAACACCCCAATCTGCAGGAGGTTCATGGTCATCCAGTCGGAGGGGAAAACGTTCCCCATCAGGTCCTTAAACATGATGAATGTCTCCATTAGGAAGTCCTGTAGTGGGCCAGGGAGAACAGTTACCTTGCCTGTACTGGAAGTACCTGAATTTATGCATCTTCATGTCTGCACAAACATGGGATTTTGTTTCTGACCAAGTCCATCGATTAGTAACAAGTTGAACTCTGCACAGCAGGTCCCTAAGCTTTTCTCATATTAGACACACACACACCTCAGTAAAGAAGCAAGGACAGGGAGATCCTCACGTTGTTCCAAGTCAGTCCCATGAAATGTCTATAATCAATAATCACTTCAGGAGCAGTTACAAGCACCAGTGGTTGAATGCCAGCTATCGACTGGATGACTCAGGAAGAGCCATGCCCAAGGCAGGGCAGGCGGAGCGGACCACTTACAATAATGTCCTGTCTGGTCTTGAATGTACTGATGTAGTGGGCGTAGTGCATGTCATCCATCTGCTTCAAGATGGCAGTCATGCAGGCTAGGTAATGACCCTGCCATGGAGAAGACAGAGTATCAGTCACCTTAGCTGGAAAAACTAGTTTGGGTTCCCACGTATAACATGTTATATGCTTATAAGCTGCTTATATTGTTGAATGCTTATAAGTGCTAACTAAGTTATATACTGTATAGGATGCATAGAAGCAGATTTCCAGCACTGTGCCTTATACATGGAAACTTAAAATAAAGTATAAGGCGACCAACTGAACAAATGAAAATAACTTCTACTTTAGAGTTAGATGAAGAACTTTCTGAGTACTGCGTCTGAGTCTTACAATGAGAGGGGAGGTTCTGCTCATGCTGATGACAGTGCGATTGACTCTGCGAAGCAGCCTCTCAACAATCAGCTGGACATGACCCCGGGTTGGACCCTGAGGACACAGACAAGCAGGTCAGATAAAAAATATACTAATCAAAACCAATCCAGTTAGGGTCAGGGATGTGACTGATTTCAGTGTTTTCAGCTGCAGAGATAGAGGTGTGCTGTAGCAATTTGCCACTTACCACATCCTTGCGGTCCAGGTTGTCAAGCACAGTGCTGAGCAGCTGAACACAGGCCTCGTGGTCAGGCTTATTGGAGTGGTCATCCAGCTGCCCACTCAGCTGGTCAGTCACCAGTGGCAAGAGGACATCTCGACACTCTGTGGGGTCAAAGAGAAATAGAGACCATTCAAATGTGTCATCATGTGGTTCTGTTTTTAAATAGAGATTATTATAAAGTTGTGTTTTAACCAGAGAGGTGCTACAGTACCTGGCTTTTTGAAAAGGCCACTCTCCACCATTTTACACATGCAACCAAGTTTCTGGCGCACCAGCTGAGAGTCAGGGATGCTCTCGATGAACTTGGTCAGAAGAACACTAGTGAGAGAGAGAGACAGGAAGACATACAGAAAAAGACAAGGTCATGTGACAATGTCACTATCTTTCTATACAGGAAACAGCATAATTTCTGCAGAGATTCAACTGTTAAAATGTCATTACAAGGAGTTACCTGAGCTCCACAGGGTCAAAGACATTTTTTATGTCATTAATGATGGTGGGGAGGTATTTCAGTATCGCCCCCTGAAAAAGACAAGGTCTCAAACGTTTTTTTAAAAGAACATGAGGGAAATATCACTGCATACAGCTTCCTTTCCGTGTTTTACAGAGCTAGTCAGCTATAAATTGTTTATCAAGTAAAACTTGAACTATCTTTCATCAAGCCAGCATAATGGACGATAACTATAGGACCAAGGACGATAACTATAACGATAAAAAACGATACAAATAAATAACATCGTTCTAATTCAAGTGAACAGGAGCGTCACACTACAACGATAACTACAAAAATAGTGGAGAACGACAACGAGAGCTATCACTTCCAGAGCGATTTTTTCCCCTGTCCCGCCAACGATAAAACATTGACAACCAATCATAAACGCGTTCTATTGAAGCCTCCTTGGTTCTAGGTGCGCGAGGCTGCTCGGAGAGGAGAGAAGGCAGCGCGCAAGGTAAACTTTCCTGAATAACTAGGCATGTGTGAGCATATTGGTGTCCACATTAATTATAGGACGACTTGGGAGGATGATCCATGACAAACAGCGCATTAGAAGGCCATATTTTCCGATGGTAGGCCTATCTGTTAACGCCGATATATGACTGGCCTGCTAATGTGCCTTTCTGGACCTTGTAAACTGTAGAGAAAAGACCCATTACTGATCCAAATGGTTGCCTAATCATGCCTAGGCTAGATTAGTATTATTATTTCGGAATGAAACATGCATTCAAAACTCAAGGCTTTTTAGCGGTTATTGAAATGGCATATTCACTGCAGTTTACAGCCTAGACTATAATTATTTACTCACTAGAAAAATTAATAAAAAATGCATTATTGCATTGTGTTGTTATAGCCTAGGTATGATTGTTTTTCTTGTCCCTAAACAGCTTAATCAATTGGGGAGAATTTCGAGCTGGAGCGCAGCCTGGGGAGCACACTATCCTAGGCTACCTGCCATTTCATTATCTGATAAAAAAATATATTTCAACTGTGTAAATTCATTGGGTATAGGCTATTCACTGCAGTATTAGGGCCTAACATTTAGCTAATGAATGGGTTGCATACGCTTCTATCTTAGGCTACATATCTCTAGTCTGTCTTCACGGTTCTCTTTGCGCAATTGCGCACCTGGCCTCTGCTGCCTCGCTGCTACAGATATTCCTATTTTCTCTTGGAATCCCAGGAAAAGCTAGATTACAATATCTTGTTGTACACTTAATTTTAGCGTTTTATTTACTACAACTAGCCTATTGAGGAGAGATTGCAGCTTGCTCTTGCTTGCTGGATGTAACATAGGAGAGTTTGAAAGAAGAGGGAGAGAGAGAGAGAGCGTGCGCGATAGTGTGATCAAAATAAACCACGAGTAGCCTGCTAATGTATCTTTCTGGACCTTGCAAACTGTCGAGAATAAACCCATACCTGATCCAAATGTTTGCATAATCAGGCATAGGTTGTATGCAGTTATTTCGGCATGAAGCATTCAAAACAGGACGTTTAAGAGGTTATTCAAATTTGCCCACATCACTTCAGTTTACAGCCCTAGACAATAATTGTGTACTCACTTGTTAACAATAATACATTCTCCATTGCACTGTGTTGTTGTAGCTTAGGTAGAATACTTGTCTTGTCTAAAAACGTAGGCCTAATCAATAGTGAAGCTTTGCTTCACAAAGACTGCAGCGCAGCCCGGAGGAACGCACATATCTGCCGTTTAAAAAAAAATCCTTGGACTTTGACAGATAAATATTGATAGCCCTACTATTTAACTAATGAAGGGCCTAATATCTATCTCATATTTAGCTTCTTACTTCGGCTACACATCTCTAGCCTCTCTCTTCCAGCTGTTCCGGTGCGCAATATACTGTAGTGTAGCCTAAGGATTCGCAAGCCTCTCCGCTATTCCTCTTCATGTGAAATCCCAGGAAAAGCTATAGGCTACAAAAGCTATAGGACATTTATTTTTAGGCTTTTTTTATACTAGGCCTAATCGCCTTTTCGTGGAGAGAAGCATGCTTGCGCTAGCTAATTGCTGAATGTAAAATGGGCCTAGGCCAAATTAATTTTCGGGGAACGTTAAGGAGAGTGCGTTGGTGTGATCACTTTGTCCAGTGATGATAACATTGTTGCACTGATGCATTGCAAATGGTTGCACAGGACAGACAGAGAGATGAGCACAGCGAAAAATAAGATCTAGACAAATTGACATCCATTAGAAAAATGGAAATCACTTGCAAACCACTTGAGCAACAACGCAAGCAATGACATGATGTAAAAGATGCGCAGGCTAAACAGTATTTGTTGTTGAATAACTACATTTTAATATGTTCCTATATGTACATTTAAGTATTATTTGCAGTTGTCACAATGACAATGAACACACCCTGAAGCACTGAATGGTCTGTGTTACCACCTTATTAACTAACAGGCATACAGCGTGCAGTAGGATGCGTTGATCAGTTGATTGACAGGTGTACTGCAGAACGCTGGTGTGGATGCTCACCAACGTTTATAGTTATGTATAATTTATCGTTATAGCTATCATCCTTGGTGTGGCTGGCCCTTAAGGCTTCCATAAACATAGAAAGGCTAAGCTAGTTTGTAAAGCTGACAATTTCATTAGAATAATACAGTAAGTTTTGCACTACCAGGCTATTCAATGTTAACCAAGTGTGCATTAAAGAAGATGAAGTACCATGTAAGTGTCCATCCCAGTGTCTCTCCCCTACACCAACTCACCTTTATCTTCACTCCCTCGTCCAGCGGTTTGTCCATGAGTGTGTTGAAGGAGAGGAAGAGTGTCCGTATGGAGTTAAAGAAAGCATCCCCATCCTCACTGGTCCCATAGAATCTGAGTAAACAAAAATAAGGATATTGCTCATTTCAAAACAAACCAATATTGTCTACCAAATGTATGAGTATGTATGAGGAAGGAAGGTCACGGCTATGATACCTGAGGTAGAGGACCCGGGACTGCACAATGAACCTGAACAGGTACTTGAGGGCTTTGAGGGCTGGGTACAGTCCCTCTGTTAGGACAGGCTTATCTGCATGGCCCACATAGTAATTCAGAACCTTGGTCAGCTTCCTGAAAAAGTAATGGAATGGGGCACTCAGGCATACCAGTAACTGCATATAAATGACTGTGTTCTGAATGGGTGGAAAGGTGTCAAAACAGGAGGAAAGAAAAATGAACGGAGTAGAGAGGGAAATGTGAAAAAGGAAAGAGCTAGACTCACATGTAAGCCAAAGTGGCACTGAAGTGCTTGTTGATGTATGTCTCCAGTACTGGGTTAAAGTGCTGGAACTTGATGTCTCCAATCAGTGTGATTATGAACACCTAGAAGAAAAGCAGAGCACAGTCAGGAACCAGTGTAATATAGAAACCTGCTGGAAAATGTTGTTGCATTAATACATTTACATTTAAGTCATTTAGCAGACGCTCTTATCCAGAGCGACTTACAGTTAGCACATACATTATTTTATCGAACCCACAACCCTGGCGTTGCAAACGCCATGCTCTACCAACTGAGCTACATCCCCTGCCGGCCATTCCCTCCCCTACCCTGGACGACGCTGGGACAATTGTGCGCCGCCCCATGGGTCTCCCGGTTGCGGCCGGCTACGACAGAGCCTGGATTCGAACCAGGATCTCTAGTGGCACAGCTAGCACTGCGATGCAGTGCCTTAGACCACTGCGCCACTCGGGAGACGTAATAGTTTCTGATATACAACTGTCGTTTGGTATATTAAAGACAGATGCCATTAATCCTGATAGCTTAATGCAGGTAAGTCACTCACCACTCCAGAACTCACCAGAGCATTGAAGACCAGGTTGTCATAGGTGTCCTTCTCTGAAGTCTCCATCATGATGTTGAACAGGGCATCAAGTGTGTCCTGTAGAAACTAAGACCACAAAAGACAAATTCATTAGGATAGGGTGTCCTTATATGTTAAACTAGTTAAGAATACTAAGTTTGGAGCAGTCAGACTCACTTTGACAATCTCTCCTCCCTCTACCTCCATCAGGCGCTGCAGGTTCTGGTCCAGCTCTTCAGGGTTGGACCTCCAGTTCAACAGGCCCAGGAGATCCACTGGAAGAGGAACAGGAGCATATTACTTTTATGTCAACATCACTCTACTCTGTATTATGAGCCGAAGTGCGGAAAAGTGCGGATTTGATTCTATTTCTTAAGGTCTGTTTGATTCTAAATACATTGTTTCTCAGGTAATCGTGTCCTACTACAGTACCATTCTGGGTGAGTTTAGTGGAGCAGGTGAGAGTGCCAATCTGGAAGCTGTCCTTGGTAACTGGGATGACTCCTGAATGCTGAAAGGTTTTCCCTGTCTGCCTCTCCTTCTCCTCCACCTCAGCCCAGGAGCCTGGTAGAGTCAGGTATGTCTTTGCATCCTCAGTCTTCTTCACGTCAACCTGAGACAAATGGAAAAAAAATGAATTAAATACTAAAACAAATTAATCTGTATGTCATTTGATATTCATTGACCAGGGAGGGACCATGAATAATCGACTTACTTTCAGCTTTTTATTTTATATGAAATATCAAAATAATTACTTAATTACTACTTCACTACTTAATAATGAAATAGAACCCTATGGGGAGAATGATTTAAAATGAGTCAAATGTATCTGAACCCTCTGGTTCCACCAAGCTGTCGGCATCATATAGGGTATGTGACAGTGGCAGAGTGCTGTGCTGGTCCCACCTTATAGACAATGAGATCATGTCTGCCGTCTTTCAGCGTCGTTCCGTCTCCTTTCATCAGGCGGACGAACGCCATGCCAAACGGCTTCTCTGATTTGTCTCTAGCTAAAGGAAACACAGCAGTTTCAGTGAGGACCCAATCAACCAACTCTGAAGAACACGTTCATGCTGACCAGATCCCAGAGGGTTAGGGCAGGCTGCCTGGGTGTTGAGTGTTTTAGAAACGTGAGTCACTCACAGTCCTGAGATGATCTGTGTCGAAACATCACCCTGAGATGACAGCGGCCCACATCTTCAATAGAAATAGTCACCTTGGAGGGGGAGAAGAAAGGGATGAGGAGAGGAGTGAGGAGAGGAGAGTATCATGACAAGAGACAGAGAAAGTCATGTCTGGTGTCTGTCTAGCATTTTGAATGAGTGCCACAATCCTTGCCAATATCTCCTCTAAAGGATTATTTCATAGTATAGAGTCAAATCTTTTTGAGAAAGTAATTGCTGAACTTGAGCCACCATGAGGAGAGTACAGAGCTCTCTTGTCCTAATAGAAACACCTGGGATGCTGGTAAGTTAGCTGTACCTTGACTGTTTCATTCCAGCTCGGCTGCTTGACCTGGTAGTAAATTACAGACTTGTACTCTGTGATCCCATCATATCCAGCACCAGGAAATATTGCTTTCTATTCAAGGAGAAGGAATGAGCTTCAGTCAAATATTTTTTTTTGCAGACAAGAAAACCAATGTATATGTGTAAAAATGATGTTTTCTTACAGTAAACCAACAAACATGAGTTGACTGACATGCAATACTTGAGGTAAAAATGGTTAAAAAAAGAAATGTGGAGGCACACATAATGTTACGACAGCACCCTTACCTCCATGAGATTGCCATCGTCATCTAGTACACTCAACATCACCTCAACATTTTTGGGTGACGTTTTTTTACCGCGGTCAAACTCCCCCTGTAGCAAGGTCACATATATATCGTTCCTCACATATCCTAGAGGAGGAGAATTAGTTGATTAATATTGAAAAACAATCTATTAACTGTCACTGCTATAAAGGCAGGTACAAAGTATGCAACCCCTTGTTTCAGACGCAATTCAGCTACAAAGAAGAACATGTAAACGTATGGCACCTGGGAGGATGATCTCAGGGAAGCCCATCTTTCTAACAATGGCGGTGGTGCGATCCACAAAGTGGGGGTAGTCCTTCCTGACCTGGGACAGGTCACCAGGAAGTAGCTTTAGGGTCACAAACAGTCCTGAGAACCCAGCAGGGCCAATCAATGAAGAGATAGTTAACAAGACAGAGGCACTAACAGAATGTTCAGAATGGATACACACAACCCGTTATGTTTCTATTTAGAACCCAGACCCACATTTTAAAGGCTACTTCTAAGTTATATTCCTTTGTATTTTATATTCTGTTCTACTCTGCTATATTCTGGGCAAACTGGTGAGTTGTTGCCACAGAGTGGCAGTGAGTGTGTCTCTTTACCCTGGCCCTTGTGGTTGACCTCCCGGGTGTTAATGACTTTGTTGAAGACGGCGGTGAGAGGCTCATTCTCTCCAATGACCCGGGATGGGAGGAGAGGTGACATGATGAGTTGCCTCTGACGGATGTATGTCTCCATAGCTATCCTGGGAGAGAGAAGAAGGGAGAGAGAGGGGGAGAAATATATTTTAAAAGTGGGACTGACAAGTGGATGGAACCACAGATCACAAAACATAGAGCTACGAATGGCATATTGAGATATTGGAGAAGAAAATCCACAAAATATAAAAGTGCATGTGACCAAGCAAGAAAAGGCAACATTCTCCAGTTGCATTTTTGTTAACACCGCACTACAAACCTGGACTTGTCCTTGGTCTACAGTATGGTATAGCAATAGAGGAAGCAGTTGCATAATGCATTCCTTTAAGTACTCTATCCTAAAAGAGTTCAAGCCATTTGTCATTTCTGACTCTATGATGGTGTAAGAGTAGGTTGATTTAAAATGAACTGTGGAGTGAGGACTATTAACACAGGGTGAAAATGAGCAGAGCCTCTGAGAGATTTTAAAACACTCACTGCTGAAAGGGGATGAAATGCTGCTTCTCCTCATCATCTGCTTTCCCATGGGCGATATCTGTGATGTCCATCACTGTGAACAGAGGCAATTGTGAATGTGGTGGTGATATGTGGCAAAGGCTAAGCTAATAAGCTGCTATCAATTCAATTCTCCAGTTATTGTCACTACTGCTGCTAGCATGGCCTCACTTTAATATATTTGGTATTTGATTTCTCAGCTCGAGCCATTTCACAGCAGTCCTCACTCCGATTAAGTAAACTACAGAGCAGAACCACAATGTCATTTGTGTTTGAAAACTAGTTATTGGGCCCTCACACAAATGTTCCAATGCACCAGAGAGACAATGAGAACAAGAGACATCCACAACAAGAGCATATGTAGGATTCCAGCAGGTCTCTCTGTGTGATCTTGAGCTTTGTGTTGCAATAGATGATGGTTCAGTAGGCATTCCTCTTTCTCTCTCAATTAGTCATTTCTTAGGAAATAGCTGAGGGAATTGAGAGCTCTGTATTGCTCCCAATGATTCTGGGTTCAGTCCATTTGCTGTGACACCAGAGGAAATAATTTCTCATCCAACCTAGAAATGTAATCATCCACTCAAAACAAAGAGGGATGTTTAAATCACTTCCCCTGACTCCTTTGGCGAGGCAGTCAACGTGGAGGTAGTTTATGGGTCAGGAGGGTAAACAGGTTCAGGTGAGCTCAGGGTGTATCTGGCTTTTATCCAGGACAGGGATCCTACTGTAAATGTTTGTTTAGGCCCTCAATTACCCATTCACTCAAACTCTAAGTAAATGGGGTAGTGTTCTGATTTCAGATTAACTGAATTGAATGTATAAATTTGCGCAAACAAATATAGTGAAGACATCTCAATTAAAAGACATCTCACCAGCTACACCAAACGGTCTCCTTAAGCCTCCTGTGTGTTTCTTGCCCTCCTTGAGCTCCATGCTGCCCACCCTGATAATCTGACAGACGAGGAAGAGACGTGGCCTAATCAGGTCACTGCTGCTCAGATCCTGGCCAGAGAGGGCGGAGCGGAGAAGAGAATTTCAATGCAGAGATAAGGACGACATAATGCAAGTAAAGTAAAAGTTGCTTGGCAGAACATATTCAATATCTTATGCAATGTTGCTTATTTAAAGCTTAATGTGAGCAGTTCAGATGAAGTAAATGGCATGGCATTGCATAGCATGCCCCAACCAAGGACTGTCACTGCCCACTCCCGGTCCATCTGTTAGGCCCCATGGCTAGTCTATTATATTTACAACAACAGAGAAACAAGACAACAGAAAGTAGAAGGAAGGGTTTCATCTTTGTTACCGTGAAGAGGGCAGGCAGATTGTTGAGTTTCTCAATCTCTTTGGGCATGCCCATGCTGTCCCAGCGCACCAGGAAGTTCTCACTGCAAACATACATGGCATTCACAATCAAGAATCACAACTCACATACCTCACTGTAACAAACCTCTGTGTGTTTTTGACAAGATAACACAAAAACACAAATATATCAAAATGCCTACATACAGTCACGTTATTAAATATATATGCAATGTGGAACACACATGAGTCCTGGACGAATTGTTCTGTCAGGCGTCAGAATGGTAATGGTGGTGATGTTATCTGGTTTAGTATAATGCAATGAATTTAAATGCGTTGGTATCTGACCTGATGAACTCTGACTGGTCAGGGTCATAGAGCGACATAAGCAGCTCTGCATCCTCCCCGATGTTACAAACAAAGTTCTTGAGGTTCATGAGGAGGCTGTATGTGTGCACTGTGCTAAACAGGGACTGGCGCCTCATCTCCAGATTCTGCAGCCGGGTCTACAGAGGGGCACAGAGACACTGTATGAGCACACACAATGCACTGGCAGGGCTAACTCTGCAGCCTATAGTAGTTTATCTATCAGAGGCACAAACAACAGCTGGTCCATGCCTTCTCCTCTTGTATTCTGTCATCTATACTGCGGGATGCAGTCTCAAAGGCTCGGAACAGACTGACTGTGCTGGTGCAGTCCGGGTCCAGAGTGTTCCCTGCGTCATCTCGCACCACCAGGTCCAACCCGAGAATCCTGTACAACAAAAAGCATCAAATATAGCTTAAGACGGATTTACAGGGGCATATTCTTAGCACCATGACTTAGTCACATAAAATGTTACAAGCATGTTTATGTCACAATGCAATTCAAGTAGAGTACAATTTATACCGGTTTCCATAATCAATCTTAGCTGTGACTTTCTTCCTGAGCTCCACAAGGTCATCCTTGGGCAATGTTCCCGACACTATCTGAGATCGATACTCGATGAGGCTGTAGGCCATCTGTTGTACGCCCATGAACAGAGTGGTCTTGTTGTTCTGTCAAACAAACAGTCATATTCATCATTACAGTCACTCAGGCTAACATAATTACACTTTTCCAAACAGAGTGAGTGTCAGAGTTGAATAACAGCATAAGGGTAAAGTAAATTCTTGAATGTGAAGATTATGTAAGTAGGGAGATGGATAAGAAACTAGTTTTCTCAACGTACCACATATAGCTTGTGCCATATTTGTGCCCACTCCCTCAGAGTGGCACCTAACTCCAGTACTAGTGGTAAGTCTCCTGGGATAACTATTTCCTGATGGCTGCAAGATGGACGGAAGGAAAGTACCAGATATTGGGTCCCACAGGTGCATCACATGCATCAAATTGTGCAAATAGGTCAAGTCACACATCCCATCAAATACAATACATTTCTAATGACATGACAAGTGAGTGACACCTTACCCTGTCCCTTCAACTTTAGCCTCCTTTAGGTGGATGTACGAGGCTGGGAATATGCCCTATGAGATGAAACAGAAACGTAAACCTCTTCTTCAAATTATTTTCTAATTTCAATGAAAAACTATGAATGGATATACGGTTGTTGCCATACCTTCTGTGCTTTGTCCCGTAGTGTGTACCCTCTATACCAGCCTGGGGAGATTAAAGATTGATGTAGAGATATGACAGGTATAAGGATAATACAATAGAGATAAGACAGATGAGAAGCGAAGAGGGCAAACTAGATACAGGTGGTGAACATTGCTGATTATTATCAATCCATGTCAATAGTTCAATGTTTTACAAAGTTGAAAACTTAGCGTATGACAGCTTGTTGTACGTAAGAATGTGAGGCAAGAGTGATATGTTAGGGCATGTCGGCTGTTCATGCTCACCTTCAAATGTCTCAAGTATGTGTACAGTGTCTCCCACCTGGAGACACAGCTCCTGCTCTGCTCTGGAGTCATAATTATAGATTGCTGCGAGAGAATTTATAGGAGATACAGTCTTATTATGGCAGTCTTACAATGGAAACAACATACAAACACAAAACAACAATCCCCAGCAAGCTCAACATACAGAAAGTGAAAACAGACAACATTTATGAAGAGCCCAGCAAAGCCTATAGACTTTGGCCTTTTACCAGGTCATATCTGATAAAGGTACAGTATATTGTAGCCAGGTATTTCTTGTGATGTGAAAAAGCATGTTTGAGCTTGAGTAAGAGTAAACATTGTTTTATGAATTGAATGAATTTACAGGTACATTCTTGTATGGTGCAATATAAATTCAGTGTTGGCCTTAAACTGGAAACCCAGTTTTAATTGAAAATGGCCCCCAATCTCTTGGATTTTCACTTTACTCTTAATTATAGCCTAATACATGTACTGTATGTGCATGTATTCATGATTAGGATTTTAGGACTCAGCCTGACCTCACGTTTTAAATAAAGAGATGATTCACATTATCCTGTTCTTTTTCATTCCCTGTGGTAGCAATACAAGGTTATAACATTTACAGAAAATACAGAAATGCCAGTGGTGGAGGTGTTGCTGTTTATATTCAGAACCACATTCCTGTAAATATTAGAGAGGATCTCATGTTAAATACTGTTGAAGTAATATGGCCACAGGTTCATCTGCCTCACCTAAAGCCCATTCTTGTGGGAAGCTACTATAGACCACCAAGTGCAAACAGTCAGTATCTGGAAAACTTGTGAAATGCTTGATAATGTTCAATACCAGTCAAAAGTTTGGACACACCTACTCATTCAAGGGTTGTTCTTTATTTTTACTATTTTCTACATTGTAGAATAATAGTGAAGACATCAAAACTATGAAATAACACATATGGAATCTTGTATTAACCAAATAAGTGTTAAACAAATCAAAATATATGTTATACTTTAGATTCTTCAAAGTAGCCACCCTTTGTTTTGATGACAGCTTCGCACACTCTTGGCATTCTCTCAACCAACTTCATGACGAATGCTTTTCCAACAGTATTGAAGGAGTTCCCACATATGCTGAGCACTTTTTGGCTGCTTTTCCTTCACTCTGCAGTTCAACTCATCCCAAACCATCTCAATTGGGTTGAGGTCGGATGATTGTGGAGGCCAGGTCATCTGATGCAGCACTCCATCCCTCTCCTTGGTCAAATAGCCCTTACACAGCCTGGAGGTGTGTTTTGGGTCATTGTCCTGTTGAAAAACAAATGATAGAACCACTAAACGCAAACCAGATGGGATGGCGTATCCATGCTGGTTAAGTGTGCCTTGAATTCTAATAAATCACAGACAGTGTCACCAGCAAAGCACCCCCACTCCATCACACCTCCTCCTCCATGCTTCACAGTGGGCACCACACATGCAGAGATCATCCGTTCACCTACTCTGCGTCTCACAAAGACACGGCTGTTGGAACCAAAAATCTCTAATTTGGACTCATCAGACCAAAGGACAGATTTCCACCGGTCTAATGTCCATTGCTCGTGTTTCTTGGCCCAAGCAAGTCTCTTCTTCTTATTGGTGTCCTTTAGTAGTGGTTTCTTTGCAGAAATTCGACCATGAAGGCATGATTCACGCAGTCTCCTCTGAACAGTTGATGTTGAGATGTGTCTGTTACTTGAACTCTGTGAAGCATTTATTTGGACTTCAATTTCTGAGGCTGGTAACTCTAATGAATTTATCCTCTGCAGCAGAGGTAACTCTGGGTCTTCCTTTCCTGTGGCGGTCCTTTATGTCTTAAAGTAATGATGGACTGTCGTTTCTCTCTGCTTATTTGAGCTGTTCTTGCCATAATATGGACTTGGTCTTTTACCAAATAGGACTATCTTCTGTAAACCACCCCTACCTTGTCACAACACAACTGACTGGCTCAAATGCATTAATAAGGAAATAAATTCCACAAATTAACTTTTAACAAGGCATACCTGTTAATTTAAATGCATTCCAGGTGACTACCTCATGAAGCTGGTCGAGAGAATGCCAAGAGTGTGCAAAGCTGTCATCAAAACAAAGGGTGGCTACTTTGAAGAATCTCAAATATAAAATATATTTTGATTTGTTTAACACTTTTTTGGTTACTACATGATTCCATATGTGTTATTTCATAGTTTTGATGTCTTCACTATTATTCTACAATGTAGAAAATAGTTTAAAAAAAGAAAAACCCTGGAATGAGTAGGTGTGTCCAAACTTTTGACAGGTACTGTATGTGAGATCAACAGAGAGGTATATTTTCTGGGTGATTTAAATATTGACTGCTTTTCATCAAGCTGCCCACTCAAGAAAAAGCTTCAAACTGTAACCAGTGCCTGCAAACTGGTTCAGGTTATCAGTCAACCTACCAGGGTAGTTACAAACAGCATAGGAATGAAATCATCAACATGTATTGATCACATCTTTACTAATGCTGCAGAAATGTGCTTGAAAGCAGTATTCGGATCCATCGGATGTACTGATCACAATATAATAGCCATATCTAGGAAAACCAAAGTTCCAAAGGCTGGGCCTAATATAGTGTATAAGAGGTCATAAAATAAGTTTTGTAGTGATTCCTATGTTGTTGATGTAAAGAATAATTTTTGGTCCGTGGTGTGTAATGAGGAGCAAGCAGATGTTGCACTTGACACATTTATGAAATTGCTTATCCCAGTTACTAATAAGCATGCACCCATTAAGAAAATGACTGTAAAAACTGTTAAATCCCTGTGGATTGATGAGGAATTGAAAAATTGTATGGTTGAGAGGGATGAGGCAAAAGGAATGGCAAATAAGTCTGGCTGCACAACCGATTGGCAAACGTACTGCAAATTGAGAAATCATGTGACTAAACTGAATAAAAAGAAGAAGAAACTATACCATGAAACAAAGGTAAATGACATAAAGAATGATAGTAAAAATCTTCAAGGACATTCTGGGAAAAAAGGCAAACTCAGCTCCATCATTCATTGAATCAGATGTCTCATTCATCACAAAACTCACTGATATTGCCAACTACTTTAATGATTTTTTCATTGGCAAGATTATCAAACTTAGGCATGACATGCCAGCAACAAACGCTGACACCACACATCCAAGTATATCTGACCAAATTATGAAAGACAAGCATTGTAATTTTGAATTCCGTAAAGTGAGTGTGGAAGAGGTGAACAATTATTGTTGTCTATCAACAATGACAAGCCACCAGGGTTTGACAACTTGGATGGAAAATTACTGAGGATAATAGCAGACGATATTGCCACTCCTATTTGCCATATCTTAAATGTAAGCCTACTAGAAAGTGTGTGCCCTCAGGCCTGGAGGGAAGCAAAAGTCATTCCGCTACCTAAGAATAGTAAAGCCCCCTTTGGTGGATCAAATAGACGACCAATCAGCCTGTTACCAACCCTTAGTAAAGTTTTGGAAAAAATTGTGTTTGACCAGATACAATGCTATTTTACAGTAAACAAATTGACAACAGACTTTCAGCATGCTTATAGGGAAGGACATTCAACAAGCACAGCACTTACACAAATGACGATGATTGGCTGAGAGAAATTGATGATAAAAATATTGTGGGGCCTGTTTTGTTAGACTTCAGTGCGGCTTTTGACATTATCGATCATAGTCTGCTGCTGGAAAAACGTATGTGTTATGGCTTTACACCCCTTGCTATATTGTGGATTAAGACTTACCTGTCTAACAGAACACAGAGGGTGTTCTTTAATGGAAGCCTCTCCAACATAATCCAGGTAGAATCAGGAATTCCCCAGGGCAGCTGTCTAGGCCCCTTACTTTATTCAATCTTTACTAACGACATGCCACTGGCTTTGAGTAAAGCCAGTGTGTCTATGTATGCGGATGACTCAACACTATACACGTCAGCTACTACAGCGACTGAAATGACTGCAACACTTAACAAAGAGCTGCAGTTAGTTTCAGAATGGGTGGCAAGGAATAAGTTAGTCCTAAATATTTCTAAAACTAAAAGCATTGTATTTGGAACAAATCATTCACTAAACCCTAAACCTCAACTAAATATTGTAATAAATAATGTGAAGATTGAGGAAGTTGAGGTGACTAAACTGCTTGGAGTAACCCTAGATTGAAAACTGTCATGGTCAAAACATACTGATACAACAGTAGCTAAGATGGGTTGAAGTCTGTCCATAATAAAGGCAGGTCCTACAGGCTCTAGTTTTGTCGCACCTGGACTACTGTTCAGTCGTGTGGTGCCACAAAGAGGGACTTAGGAAAATTGCAATTGGCTCAGAACAGGGCAGCACGGCTGGCCTTTGGATGTAAACAGAGAGCATTAATAATATGCATGTCAATCTCTCCTCGCTTAAAGTGGAGGACAGATTGACTTCAACACTACTTGTATTTGTGAGAGGTATTGACATGTTGAAGGCACGGAGCTGTCTGTTTAAATGACTAGCACACAGCTCAGACTAGCACACATGCATACCCCACAAGACATTCCACCAGAGGTCTCTTCATAGTTCCCAAGTCCAGAACAGACTATGGGAGGCGCTGTCACACCCGGGCTCTGGGACTCTATATGTTGAGCCAGGGTGTGGTCATTCTATGTGTTGTATTTCTATGTCGGGAGTTCTTGTTGTGCTATTTCTATGTTGGCCTGAGTGGCTCCCAATCAGAGGCAACGAGTGTCAGCTGTTGTTGGTTGTCTCTGATTGGGAGCCATATTTAAACTGTCTGTTTTCCCTTTGTATTTGTGGGATCTTGTTTCTGTTTTGGTTTGTTCCTTGTTGGTTATGTTAAACCGTAGGACTGCACGTTTCGTTTTGTTGTTTTGTTGTGTATATTATCACTATTGATAATAAAGATTCAATATGTTCGTTCATCACGCTGCGCCTTGGTCTACTCCATACGACGATCGTGACAGGCGCACAGTACTACATAAAGCCATGACTACATGGAACACTATTCCACATCAGGTAACTGATGCAAGCAGTGGAATCAGATTTTTAAAAACAGATAAAAATACACCTTATGGAACAGCGGGGACTGTGAAGCAACACAAACATAGGCACAGGCACATGCATACACACACATGATAACATACGCACTATACAAACACGTACACGTGGATTCTGTGTTGTAGATATGTGGTAGTGGAGTAGGGGCCTGAGGGCAGACACTTAGTGTGTTGTGAAATCTGTTATGAATGTATTGTAATGTTTTTTAAATGGTATAACTGCCTTAATTTTGCCGGACCCCAGGAAGAGTAGCTGCTGCCTTGGCAGCAGCTAATGGGGATTCATAATAAATACAAATACAAATTCCTTGAGCCTGTGTTTGATGGAGTAAATGGAAAATGTTTTTTCCAAGTGTATTACATCATCCACACAGAGGAAGGTAAAGTGAGAGGAGGGGATTGACATCATGTATGATTTATTCTTAAATCACCAAGCCATGGAGCCTGTTGGTTAAAGGTCACATTTTAGAGGTTATACAGCAGCCAACTGGGTCAGCAGAGTGCCATGTCCTCCTCTCCTCTCCTATTCAATTGCAGCCCTGCCCTCCTCAGTTTGTTAACTTAAGTTCCTTCCTAGAGGCGTTTGCTGTATTTCCCTCCCTCCTTTTCACTGAAGGACACAAGTGAGAGACAGATCACACAGCACAGCATGATCTCACACACACACACATACACACACACACACACACACACACACACACACACACACACACACACACACACTTCCTTGTCATGACTTGAGTGAGCTGCAGTGCAGACACACACTTTCATAGTCTAGTACTCAGCATCCGCCTTCTATCACAGGAACAAGGTGAGGAGCTCTGTCCTGACTTGCACGGTGATAATCCTTGTTGCCGGAGGCTAGATCTCACTGCAGGCTTCAACTGGCTAAGCTCATCACATCTCTGAATACCTTACAACTAAACATTAATATTCTTTACATAAGTATCCTTCCCATTTAATTGTACGCAGTTCCCCTCAAATCCAAATTAGTATGTGACTTTTCAACACTTGTTCTGTGAGAACAAATAGTACTAATTGAATATGTAGATCTGTGGGGAAAAGTTATACAGTGCCTTCAGAAAGTATTCAAACTTGATTACATTTTATTTATTTTATTAATGTTTGCAAATTGATTGAAAATGAAATACAGAAATATCTCCACCAGAGAGTGGTGGTCATTTCCATGTTAAAAGACCCATAGGAGCATGTTGAATTGGGTGTCAAATGAAAGCTGAGACCATATATTTGAGAAATTAAGGCATATACCGTGCATTCGGAAAGTATTCAGACCCCTTCACTTTTTCCACGTGTTGTTACGTTACAGCCTTATTCTAAAAAGGATTACATTCTTTTTTTTCCCTCATCAATCTACACACAATACCCCATAATGATGAAGCGAAAACAGGTTTTTAGATTTTTTTGCAAATGTATTTAAAATAAAAAACTGAAATACCTTATTTACATAAGTAAATAAATTGAGCTCAGGTGCATCCTGTTTACAATGATCATCCTTCAGATGTTTCTATAACTTGATTGTAGTCCACCTGTGGTAAATTCAATTGATTGGACATTATTTGAAAAGGCACACACCTGTCTATATAAGGTCCCACGGTTGGCTGTGCATGTCAGAGCAAAAACCAAGCCATGAGGTCGAAGGAATTGTCCGTAAAGCTCAGAGACAGGATTGTGTCAAGGCACAGATCTGGGGAAGGGTACCAAAACCTTTCTGCAGCATTGAAGGTCCTCAAAAACACATTGGAACCACCAAGACTCTTCCTAGAGCTGGCCGCCCGGCCAAACTGAGCAATGGGGGAGAAGGGCCTTGGTCAGGGAGGTGACCAAGAACCCAATGGTCACTCTGACAGAGCTCCAGAGTTCCTCTGTGGAGATGGGAGAACCATCTCTACAGCACTCCGCCAATCAGGCCTTTATAGTATAGTGGCCAGATGGAAGCCACTCCTCATTTAAAGGCACATGAAAGCCTGCTTGGGCTTTGCAAAAAGGCACCTAAAGACTCTCAGACCATGAGAAACAAGATTATCTGGTCTGATGAAACCAAGATTGAACTCTTTGGCCTGAATGCCAAGCATCACGTCTGGAGGAAACCTGGCACCATCCCTGTGTGGCAGCATCATGCTGTGGGGATGTTTTTCAGCGGCAGGGACTGGGAGACTAGTCAGGATCGAGGGAAAGATGAACAGAGCAAAGTACAGAGAAATCCTTGATGAAAACCTGCTTCAGGACCTCAGACTGGGGCGAAGGTTCACCTTCCAACAGGACAACAACCCTAACAGCACACAGCCAAGACAAAGCAGGAGTGGCTTTAGGACAAGTTTCTGAATGTCCTTGAGTGGCCCAACCAGAGCCCGGACTTGAACCCGAAAGAACATCTCTGGAGAGACCTGAAAATAGCTGTGCAGCAATGCTCCCCATCCAACCTGACAGAGCTTGAGAGGATCTGCAGAGAAGAATAGGAGAAACTCCCCAAATACAGGTGTGCCAAGCTTGTAGCGTCATACCCAAGAAGACTCAAGGCTGTAATCGCTGCCAACGGTGCTTCAACAAAGTACTGAGTAAAAGGTCTGAATACTTATGTATATATCACTCATCACCATTACATTACATAGGCTAACACAAATTAGAGCTGATAATGCTTAAATAATGTTGTAGCAGAGAGTGGTGGTCATTTCCATGTAAAAGGACCCATAGGAACATGTCGAATTGGGTGTCAAATGAAAGCGGAGTCTGAATTTTTGAGAAATTAAGGCATATATACATTTTTCAACTATTTTCCATCCTAAAAATTGGGAATAACCAAAGGCTTTGATTTCTTGTCAAACTGATGGAAAATGGATCTTAGAAAACATCTACCAGAATAATTCTTAAAAGGTATTAGAAATACATCAAAACACAATCATGTTGAAGTAAAGATCCCTGCCAACTAATATCAACACTGATATTTAGTTTAAAATATTTTTTTCTGCCTTCTGTAAGTTTAAGAAACATTGCCTTGTGCCTTAAAATTATGTTACCAAAAAAACCACAAATCTTTAAGATATTTTCTAATTTCTCTCCCTCATGAGGAGAGGATAATGAAAGTTCAAAGAAGTAATAAGTAAAGGTAGACGTATCAATTAGTTAAAGAGTTTTTACTAATATCAATTTTGTTCATGAATTATTAAGTGATTAAAACTCAAAAACAGAATTTCAGAAAAATCGGTAACAGAATTTCTATGAATTGGCTACAATGGGAAATCATAATAGTAACAAACCACAGTTGGATCGCCTGCTACTGTCCTTCCTTCCACTGGCATCTTGTTATGTTCAGCTGATAACTGTTTTCTTTCTCTTTCTGTGTCTGGTGGTCAAAGCACGAGTGTGAAAAGTCTGGACAACCCTTTGCTCTGTCTCTCTCCCCCTCTCTCTCTCTTCTCTCTTTTTCCAACTAATGTCACCTCTCCCAGCTCTTACTGACACCTACCCATGAGCCCCCTCTCTTTCCATTTACTGTAACCAGCATCCTCATCCACTGAGCACCGATCGACACTGGACTTCCATGGCCGCATAGTACATTCAAGTAGAGCACAGTACAGTACAATACAGTAGAGCACAGTAGAGTTCAGAACAGTACAGTACAGTAAAGAAAAGTAGAGTATAGTTCAGTACAGTACAGTAAAGAGAAGTAGAGTATAGTTCAGTACAGTAAAGTAAAGAGAAGTAGAGTATAGTATAGTTCAGTACAGTACAGTAAAGAGAAGCAGAGTATATTTCAGTACAGTAAAGAGAAGTAGAGTATAGTTCAGTACAGTGCAGCACAGTCCTGTAATGTAGAGTTGAATAGAGTGGAGTAGAGTTAAGTACAGTAGACAGTAGAGCACACTAGAGTTGAGTACACTATAATGTACTCTACTGAACTCTACTGTACTTTACTGAACTATACTCTACTTTACTGTATTGTACGTTACTCTACTGAGCTCTACTGTGCTGTTCTTTGAAGTCCAAACTTGTGAAACATACACGTCTATGATTGGTTAAGATTTGGTCAGGACCAACCAAATTTGGTCTTGTTTGGCTCACTAGAAATATAGCCAGTAGGTAGAATAATACCCACATATGCAAATGAGGATATTACATATTTCTACCTTTGTGTACCTATTTAGGATATATCACCAGGAAGAGAATGACATTCATATCCATAATTATGCATTTATGTGTAGTACAGATCAGGGACCCATGATGAATATCCGTTACCCCAATTATGTTACCGGGTGTAAACCCACTTCACTTACTGTAGTTCAGTAACCAAAAGAGATTTCTCAAACTCATGGTGTCATGTCATAGCTGACACTCTGTTCTATCTGCAGACATCTTTGAATATTAAACGAAAATTCTACCCCAAAACGATATTTTGGTATTTGTTTAATTAGTCCATTGTTGATATAGTCCCAAAATGTTTCGCATGTCAGCGATCAAGTTTTCAAAATATATAACTTTCAAAATACAGCATCATACCGGCTGTATTTTTGTATTTTGAAAGTTATATATATTGAAAACTTGATTGCTGACAAGCAAGACCTTTTGGGATTATATCAACAATGGACTAATGAAACAAATATAAAAACGTCATTTTTGGGTGGTGTTTTCGTTTAATAGGAGCAGATAGCCTATTTAACATCGTTTTTGGAAAACATGGTACATAAAAAACTGAGGGAGATTTTACTGAAATTCTGTTACCAAACTTTGCATCTGCACAGTTCTTCCAGTAAATGTGCTTTGGTAAAAATGTCAGTGTATATTGTTAAAAGTAGTCCTAGAGTTGCATGGTTTGTTAAACTTTTAAATCAATGTTTTTTGTTTGGCATACATTTTAAGTGAAAAATCTGAGTCTGCGCAATTCTGTTACCGTGTTATTGCCTGGGTGCAATTCTGTTACCGTGTTATTGCCTGGGTGCAATTCTGTTACCGTGTTATTGCCTGGGTGCAATTCAGGCCTATAGAGGATGGAAATAATAGAATTCAGCATGGCATCAAACCTCATCAAAACATTTCCTTATTCGTAGTTAAAAACTCCCTCTGCCAACTCAGAAACAATAGCCTTTATAAAAATAACAATAAAAGAAGAAATGACATCTCCCGCTCGTCAAGCAGAGAGTGACAATGGCCCATTTCACCAACTTGACACAGTTTTGACTGTGTCCAGGTCCAGGCCTGGCAACAGCGGAGCTGTGCCAGTGAAAATAATCAAGCCAAGCATGTTGTGATGCAGCAATACTGTCACTGCTAAAGCGCTACTGTCTGTGCTTTAGCACGGCTCACTAGTGCAGCTCCTTCACACTGTTGTGCACCTCAATCTGTGACATCCCTGGCTTGCAGGTTAGAGATCAGGGATGGGCAACTGGCCCTTTTGAAGGCCCTCAGATATTTATTTATTTTACTCAGTCGGGGTCTCAACTTACTGTTGTGACTTAGCATTGTAGAATACACAAGGTGCAATTTCGAAATTTGGTTGTGCATCTGCAGTTTTTCTCTTGTTATGTCAGTCACTGATAGTTGGTCAATTAGCCCATGTCAGCAATTTATTTATTTATTGCTAACTTAGTTTAGCGGCCAGCTATCTAAACTTGTTATCATGGTTGATTTACCGCCGGGTGGGATGGATGTTGGTACACAGAGCAATTGCAGACCCTTATGACGAATTCAGATTTTTTTGTGGCCCCCACCCCATCAAAGTTGTCCATCCCTGTTATAGATTAACAGCACAAAGACAGCCTCTCGTCAAAATCCTACCGGATCTCTATGACCTAGTCAAAGATTGAAATACATGTGTGCTCTGCTGAGTGATGATGAAATGTATGTATGCATTTATATCAATAAAGTGTCAATTATTTCCTTCTATATTTGCAATAACACCCTCAACACTATCACTGGCATCTTAAAGATTACACGTACAGATTTGTAGACTACATTTGAAATACAAGTAAATTGTTGAACTGTCTGTATCACAGTCCATGAGTGAGAGGTATGACTTATTTTAAAAAAAAATGTTTTACTAGGGCTTAGCAGCAATGGACACACAACAAGCTTCAAGGATGTTCTGATACAATCAGCATTACACAAACATAACTAAAGGTAGTGTGTGTTTCAAACTGTATCTACCCAAATAAGAACAAACCAATCAGTAGTTACATGGAGTCATCTGTCATATTCAAAACTGAGAAGATAGAAACAAAAATATAAGAGTGGAACAACAACAAGAAAAACGATGACTTCAGTCACCCTGAGAAAATGACACTTCTGTCTGTGGTCTTTACCAAACATAGCAAAAGATGAACAGGAACTTGAACACAGCATTTCACAGAGGTACACTACTGGTCAAAAGTTTTAGAATCTGGTTTGGGCTTAGTGGGACTATCATTTGTTTTTCAACAGGACAATGATCCAACACACCTCCAGGCTGTGTAAGGGCTATTTTACCAAGAAGGAGAGTGATGGAGTGCTGCATCAGATGACCTGGCCTCCACAATCCCCCGACCTGAACCAAATTGAGATGGTTTGGAATGAGTCGGACCGCAGAGTGAAGGAAAAGCAGCCAACAAGTGCTCAGCATATGTGGGAACTCCATCAAGACTGTTGGAAAAGCATTCCAGGTGAAGCTGGTTGAGAGAATGCCAAGAGTGTGCAAAGCTGTCATCAAGGCAAAGGGTGGCTATTTGAAGAATCTCAAATATATAATATATTTTGATTTGTTTAACACTTTTTTGGTTACTACATGATTCCATATGTGTTATTTCCTAGTTTTGATGTCTTCACTATTATTCTACAATGTAGAAAATAGTAAAAATAAAGAAAAACCCTTGAATGAGTAGGTGTTCTAAAACTTTTGACTGGTAGTGTATGTTACTTTGGGGGCTGGCAAGCTGAGTCAAGGGCATTCCTTACTAGAATATTGTCATTTTTAGAATGATACCAATATCCCTGTTCAAACAAAGTTAAAAACCAAATTAGTGTCAGAACACAATGAACATACATGATGAGATCTAAATCAATCTATGAGATTATGGTTATTTTCTGTCCTGCTAAATACAGATATCTGTAGGCCTATTATATTTACACATCTTAATGTTTTGTAAACAATGGAGGAAGGAAAAACAACCAGGTGATAACTTTTGATATATTTTCACTTAACTATGTTTGATAAGAATCTATGAAAGGTGTTATTTCTTGATACAGTGACAACATCAACCAAAGAACCTTGCAGGTACCCAATAAACGGCGTTATTACAGTATACTAACGTAAACATACTCGCTGAAACGGTTCCCCATTCGCTTTGATTTACCTTGAGGGCGTGTATCCACACACACACACAGCATGCCGAACTGAAGTGACTCATGTAGGCTATGTGACTTTGTATTTTCATGATATCTGAAAGGTCTAGTAATAGGCTAATTACACAATTTCTACAGTATAGGGGCCGCAAGAAAGTTTCACCTGGTTATCACACAAACTGTTACACACAACGTGTAGCAAGGCTCTAAAACACTTTAGAGTCAAACCTCTTGATTCACGGATTACTACTGTATGGACATAGGGCTCACACGCTGACTAAATTTATTCACATCTGTCCAACATTCACTTTCTTTCAGTGATCCCTGTACAGCCAACATGTGTGACATATTCCAGGTACCTTAACTTCGCCCTTTCCTAAAGCTTCCTACATAACTTCCAAGTTTAATAGGCTTGGCCAACTAGCTAAATAATGGAAACTGGTGTGTGAATACAGCCCAATTGTAAATAAGACGACATAGTTTTCTAACTTACCAACGCCATATTTATCTTTTTTTGTTGGAATCCAGCGGGTCATTGCGGGAAAATATTAGACGAATAAATAAATAAATAAGCGAACTGCTGGGCGGGTAAGACACTTTTCTCGTCCTGAACCCTACAGTTCCGCCATCATGACTTCAAAAGGGGGGAGGGGAGAAATCTAGGGCGCTATGCAATTGAATCCAGCAGCGGAGCGTTGCGGTGCCGCGATGGATAATATGCGTACAATGATCATTCAATTACCAAATTGTGCCAATTTGCCAACAATGTCAAATAAGAACAATGTAACACAACCAAACTTCAAATAAGTGATGAGACACCTACACTACACTGTCTAGTAGGCTAGTGTACAGTAGGCTACCTTTCACCATGAGTACATGGTGCAAAAGCAGACTGTGTGGGAACATAATATAAGGTGTAATAGCCACAACTGTAAGTATAAAAACGTTTTGATTTGATGTGATTCAACCATTGACTGTGTTGTGTTCCTCAAGGTCAGGAATGTGAGGAATCCACTCGTTGTCATACTGCTCAGTCTTTAGCAGACACTGACAGAGGGTGTGTGTGTGTTTGTAACAGTAGCCTACTCGAACATCATCAGGTTCACTCTGTTTATATTGTAGAGGATGAGTCTGTGTGAGGTTACCATTCATGCATTATGTAGGTTTGCATCAATACATGCATTGATAGTGATATTTTATTTATGACAATGGGCAGAGATGCCACACCTTCCCCCTCCCC